AAAAAAAAAAAAAAAAAAAAAAACAGTAATAATATTAGTAAATTGGAGTAGCCTTTTTTTTTGTGCTATGTACTGACTTGGTTAAAACGATATTTGCTGATGAACGACAGTCAGTAATAATAACCTGAACAATTTTAAGTGCGAAAAAAAAAAAAAAAAGATGAAATGAACACTGTGTTGAACAAAAGCACTCAGTAGGTGATCAAAGTTCATTTTCTGAAACGGTCAATCAGCAGAATAAATATAATAGTTGTTGGCGTTCATATCCGTCGCGAGATTTTTTATTTGTGAGTTCCCATTCATAGCCAGTGAATAATTTTTGATGTTTAGGAGACCTTTAAAGTGCGAATGAGGAAAGAGAAGTGGAGGAATAAGTAGAGGACGTGAGGAGGGGGTTGATTGAATACGAAGAAAATTGTTCCTTTTCCGGCAGAAAAAAATTTCGCAAAAATATCAGCAAATTTTAAAATTAATTTATTTCCACACCAAAATGTCCTCCTACCGTCATTCTCTTCAATTCTGCCTCAAAATAAAAATTGCCTACTACTTGACTTCAAAGATTACAAAAAAAATTAAAAAGGAAAGAAAAGAAAAGAAATAAGCTACTTTTTTTTATGACCTCGAAATTTTTCTTTCCCATATTTGATTAGATGTGGATACGTTGTCGTCATCGTCATCACCATCATTACTGTTGCCGTTATCGTCGTTGTCGTTGTCGTCGTCGTCGTCTTTCGGGTAATGAATCTTTTTGCAGTTTTACTTGAGGATCTTATGGCTGATACATCATGGTTTTCCGTAATTTTACAATAAAAAATAAAGAATTTTTTTTTTTTTTCTATAGGATAAAGAAGAAAAAAAGAAGAAAACAAAAACATACACAGATGCAGAAATATTTTTTTGATCCCGTGGTTGGTTCCATCGTCTTCATACGGTCAATTTTTTTATTTGCTGAAAAAAGATAGAAAAAAAGTACTGGTGAAGTTTCTGGATAGCGGAGTAAACGCAATATTTTTTGGTCGATGATGGGTTAGATTTCAAGTTTGTTTCCCGTTGGACTTTTCAGAATTTCCTATCACCTTTTCCAGTGGGGAGTGG